AACGACACACGCTCGATCCTGTACTGGTCAGCGCCAACCTCAACCGTCCATTGCTATGTCCAGCAGCTCAAAATAAAACTGGTCTTTCTGTTACGCATCATGTCGTCCATACCGATATGCCGATAGGATATGAAAGTCCTATCAGCATACCGGGTAAGAAGTTGCGAAGGGGGGGGGGCATTTTGCACTTTCTCCACTTCCCGTCGACGTGTCGACCCATCTAGAGAGCCATTTGTGAGGTTACAGGTCTTACCATGGTAGCTCAGCGAGCTTGCTCCAGCTTCACAAGATCTCACAAGTTTCACCAGAGTGAGACATGTAAACCGGAAGTAGTAAAGCAGCGAAAGTGCAAAATGCCCCCCCCCCGTCGCCGAACAGCGCCGGAATGAAGCATTAAATTAGGTATTGGACGCAGGTGAAACCCTTTGCGAGCCTACAGTCTTTTCCTGCATCTAATTTTCTTCACGTTATAGGCGAATAATGCTGTAGTAGCCACGACCTAGAAGAACTGGTTTTATCTAAACATCTGGAGAATCCAGACTGAATCAGATCAATTTTTTTCAAGCCTGTGAGCTATCTCATTGCTTTCGCCCCTCCCCCTCAATGTTTTCCTTTGTTCGAGTATTTAAATTAGTCAATGATTTTTCACTTTCAGTGATGATTTTTTGTTGTCACTACGAACCTCAAAAAATGTTGGACCTCATGTTTAGATTCCTGGTGAACTACACCGAATGCAGTCCCATGACGGCTGTCGGAGTATCTTTGGATTACATGGTCAGGCAGAATGTGGATGTCGTCATTGGTCCTCCTTGTCCTGCATGTTTGTTCATTCATTCCACAAGTCCATCGTTTTTACAGTCCATATCTTCAGAGGAGGGAGGGTGTTACTGTCTGAGCGCATCGATGATGGACAGCATGTGCATAACTCAAAAAAAAACGGGATGGCCCGAAAGAAATTTTGTCCTTCGCATGAATCGGGGGCTGTCCAGGTACGTCGCTGGGCTCACAACTAACCAGCGGACCCGCCCTCCCCATTTCCGAGATATGGAGAGTATGTTTGTTTAATTCAGAGATTAATGACGAATTCATGGAACTACTGCTATTCTCTTTGAGGCTGCGCTCACAAGCATGTTACACGATTGTATAATCCGTAATCAAAGAGGCACAACAACAGAAATGAATGCCCTAATTGACTAATCAGAGAGCGGGTGTAGAACAAGAAATTTGAGGAGGACAACCCGTCAAAAAGCCCTAGTAGAGCCCTGATGATCTGCAGGGAATGTGTTGATGCGACAGACACAGGGACACTAGCCATGGACGGGAGTTGTATATGGGAGTTGTATATCCCGACACATTGCAAACGGAAATCGGTCGCAACGACACGCAGCAGTCGTCCATTTTTTCAGAAACCTCAATATGCCCTGAGAGTGCGCCTTCTAGTTGACTCGGCCTTGTCAATCTCATTAAAGAAGTTACCACGCATCTGATCCTTAATTCGTATCTTATGAAAAGCGAGATTCTCACAGAACATCCTGGGTCATGCGATAGGATGTTGTCCTGATCGTAGTGAAATAAAAAAACTGAACAGCTTTGAACTTGTTCCTTCTTTACTGCAATACTTCCCCGCTCCCATCTTCCCGGGAATATGAGTTTGGATTTGAACCCTCGGTGAAATGTTTCACCTTTTCACTGTAGAGTGAGCTTCGTTAAAACATGAGCATGTGCAGCCTGGACGAGCAGAGATACACGACAGTCTCACGCATATGCCAGCTTGAGCCCGCTTCTATGGCTCCCATTTGCACCTCATTCGCGAGGTAGACCAGTGTTTTGATTTGATTGTTCAAAAAGGAATGACACATCCACCGTAGACGTCTCGAAGTGTTTTAAGCAGTCCTCTTCAGTGATCTCTTAAAGTGGTAGTACCGAAACGAGGTGTCCGAAAAGTTCGTGACATCTTTGGACTTTTCTCGAGTCTCAAATTCATTTTATCAACGTTCACTCATTGGTATATGCACCATCTTCATCGACGACTTGTTGCCGACGATTTGCAGAGAGTGGATACCTAGTTTCTAAGAGCTTTTCTGTTTTGAGTTGGAGAAGCTCTCCGAGGTCCTTCCACAAGATCGCTGCTGACGGACAAGCAGAGGTGGTACTCAGAAGGGGGTAAGCATTACGGTGAGTTTCCGGCCCAACTTCAGGATTTCGAATCATGTCATCTCCGAAACGTACGGCCTTGTGCCGGAGTGAAGCAGGTGCACCTCTTGTGGAGCCGTTGATTGAGTTTTTCTGCTAAGCTCTGCAGCTTTCTGCTAAGCTTTGAGCTCACTAGTCACCGTATTGTTGGAAGAGAGAAGTTCCCGGACACGTTCCGTGAACGCCTCACCACACGCAGAGCATGACCCTCTTGCCAGACTGGTTGGATTTCAAGACCGGTTCTGCCCTTTCTGATGGACCTAGCCACCGGTGCCTGCGAGTATGGTTCATTTCCACTTCTCATGTCCGGTAACAAGTCCTTACGGCGGGATCGGAAGCAATGTTGTAGGCATTACTCATCGCGTTTGTTCCTTCGATCAGCTCATGAAGTTTCCTTTGACCGAGCTTTATAACTTTCACAGAAGAGTGGATATCCCTATCAACCTTGTTTCTGGAGCAGCCAAGGGCTTCAGCAGGAGAGCGAGTTGACTCGCACGGACCGGTTCAATCAGGGATTGCAGTCGTCCTCAACCACCATAGATGGCTCCCCTGAGCGAGGCTAGTCGGTATTTTGACACAGTGCTATGAGCGATCGCATCAGGACCTACGCGGAGCAAATGTTCCATATGGCTTCGGCAACATTTAGTTTTTTATTTGCCATTTTTCTACGAAAAGGGAAGCTAGAGGGTCATTGAATTGGCCGCATGTTGCTTACATGGTGAGATCAACATAGGTCGAGGCACTGGATTCCGAAGTCACTACAGGAGAAAAAAGATGCGAGATTCAAAAAAAAATGTCACGAACTTCTGTGACAACTATATACTGTGAACTTGGCGCAGAACCTTAGGTCTGGACCGAAAAACAATAGCAAAATGTGAGCCGTATGCTTCGTAAATAAAATCGCAGGTGCCACTGGACTTGGCGTCGCGCCAACCCGCTTGCACCATTTGATGAAGCCTGTAAACGACAGCAATCAAAAACAGTTCCGCGCCAAACCAGGCCGGCCTCCTGACACACCGCAGCATCTACACGGACAAAGCTGTATATTATCGATCCTGCGGAGTAACAGTGCGCGCACGCCATAACAAAAGTTGAAGACGCGAGTTCGGTTTCTTCTACGGAAAATTCAATCGTCAAAAAAAAGTTTTTCAGCGGCAGAAATGACTGCTTATCTGTCAACATATTACTCTAAAACCATGCTTGGTTGGGGTTTCCTAATCGACTCCATATTCAGCGACGCGACCCGTTTCGCATATCTCACAAAAGTCATGCCAGATTCCATTCAGTGAGTTACTTGAATCCCATCTATATCAAAGCAATTTATTACATTTTTGATTCTTGCTCATTTACTTCCTTTTTCGTGTGTTGATCACGCACCAAAATATGAAATGCCAAGTTCCAATAGTAAGGGAGCCGAGAAAAGGAGAGAAATACAATTTTAACTCGCTCTAGGGGAAATCGAGATAATAGACCAGATAAGCAGGTATCGGTAATTTAGAGGGTGGAGACATAGAACTCGGATAGAAATTATGAAAGAGGCAATGAGACACCGATACGATCATTGTGAGGTCTACCCTACTCGCACTTTATCTTTTCTGAATACTGGCTCCCTCAAACCTTTAGTTCATAGAAAACTCTTCAGAAGATCAGCTAGAAGAGTTCACTTCAATATGATCAAGTTCGCTGAACGCCCGGAAAACCTCCCTAATGAGGTAGTAGTTATTAGTGTGGAAGGGAAGTCGTGCAAACTTTGATTTAAATGGTTCTAGAAAAAGACTAGAAAACATTTTCAATGTTTGCACCACGGATTAGTGAAGGGTGTCCTCTGAGGTTTCTACCTATCCCATATTATAAGTTCCTGTGGGGCCACTCCGGCGTAGCAGAGGGAGCTACTACCTGCGTTGCCTTCAGAAAGGATGTCTCTCGCCATGCTACGGTGTCCCGCTTGCGAGCTGGAGTTATTTAATTCGAAAGTTTGCAACGTGTAGATCGGCCACCAGCACAGAATGACGGCCGTTTACTCAAGCTTCTTGAGGCGCAGCCGAACGTAACCACCAGTAAGTTGGCAACCTTCTAGGCTCCACCTAACTGACAACTGCACTCCTCCGCAACCTTGATTATAGGGAAAATTTTTTGTGGAGTATGCCTCATGAGTTGGACCAGTCTGACAAAGCGCATCGGATAGCCGTGACTGAGTTTCTTTTTCCTTGTACACAACGAAAGAACTTAAAAAACTTTTGTGATATTCTGTGGTTGGTAGCGAGTGTTGGAGTCCTTGCGTAAACCATGCACGCATCCCTCAGAAGAGCTCTCAAGGAGAAAAGTAGATTGCTTAGCCAAAAGCAGATGTGCATGGAATAAAGATTTCACAGTGTTATTGGAGGGGACTTCAAAGCGATGTCGCTGGGTACGGGCACAGCAATGACGGCCACAGTCCACTCCAATCAACTTTGAAACATGGATGACGTCACGCTTGAATTCATTCAGAAACACTCATTTCTTTCTACTACTCGGCAATGCGAAGACCGCATGTGGGGATCAGGCTACGCCAAAAGATCATGGATCTCGATCAGGAATGCGACCGTACCCAGCTTATTTACCAAAGTTAGCAGCCTCTAATTATCCACCTCCTTTGATCCCTACCGCATTCTTACGAAAGTAAAAACTCCGAAAATCGACGTCTTCGGAAGTGAGGTCCACCTCTTCTTTTTATCATAGTTGCCGTAGTTCTATAAGAATGGAAATGAGAAGCTGTGCAAAAGGGGGCACTAGTCCTAGTCACTTAATGGTGATTATCTTGTAGATTGGAGGTGTCTTTTAGTGAAAGAAAATTTGGTCCGAATTTGATCAACATGTCGCAAGACTTTCTTTCATACCTAATACATGCGCTATGGAGTGCATTCTCACTACTGGGGATCCTGCAAGAGTACTATTGAGTACAAACGGAGCAAATAGAATGCAAAAGTGCGTTGGTTATCTCAAATTGTTCATGAC